TACCTTTCTCGCATAATCTCAACTTAGCGGTAAAAATGTTATTCAACAATCTCCACATAAAGTTATTGAGTTTGGGCATAACGTCAGCCTGTTATATATACTTCTGCAAGGCCGCTGTACTCTCTCCATGCCTTGTATCTATTATAATTCTTTTTAATGATTTGTTATATCTCCAAAAAAATTTAAGAGTATATTGATTGAGTGTATTAAACAAGATTCATATTGAAGAATTGTGTGTATACTTTAAGACTTAATATATATGTAATACCCATACCCGAATTTGGTCCGGGATCAATTTCAGTATTTTAAAAAATAAATAAAGAATTAGTTATAATTTAATTTTATTAAATTATTGAAAAAAATAGGTAGGGATGTAATTGAAAGAAATTTTCGAATAAATTAATAAAATTTGGATTCGAGAGGTATTTTGAAAGAAAATTAGAAATAAATGATCAAAGTACAAATAGAAAAAGTTCGGTTACGTAGGACTGCCCAGCCAGCAGCCCCGACGAAACGGAGCATGCCGTATGGCAAGACTCGCTGACCTAGGTGCCACGCAGACAATCTGCGTACCCCCCGATCGAACGACCCATGATCGATCCTGCACACGTGGACGAGTTGGATTTGTTCCTCTTTAAGCGCGATCGGACAAACGATATCAAATTATGATGGATGGTCTAGATTCGTTTCCTCCTTAGGCGCGATCGGACGGACAAAATCAATCATGATGAATAATCCAGATTAACGCGAAATGGGTATAATGTTTTACATCACATAAGAGCCCAAACCTTAGCCGTCAGCCTCTGTCGGAGAAGAAGAATCAGGCGCTGGAGAAAGAGACCGACCGTCGACCGCCGCCGCACTGGAACTACTGCCGGTCGTAAAAAAAGGTAAAAATTTCACCTACCCATTTGAAATTTGATTCCGAGAAACCTTGTGGTCAAATCGAAGCAAGAGGGACGGTGGGTGACCTAAAAACTGCGGGCAAAGTCTAGCAGAACTGCCGCGGCCAAAATCCAAAAATTCCTCAAATGGACCTTTTCCTGTTTCCCCTTTCATGTAATTTTTTGATCATTATGCTCACTGTCTTTTTCTGTGCATGTTAGCCGAAAAAGAAACCCCAGCCGTGAAGAAGGACCGGCGAAGCTGACGCACTCGGTGACCCCTCGCTGGTTCAGTATTTTTTGTAATTTTTCAGCCAACCGAGGCTCATAATGTATTTTTCTGCAAGGATGTACGTGTAAAACCGGTCAAAACCAGCCAAAAAGACCAAAACTAGCCAGGCCGAAGTGAACTATCGTCGTGGAGCCGACGCCGGAGCACGACAATGCCACCATACCGGAACTCTAAAATCGGCCGAAATTAGTTTTGGGCACCGATTTTAGATTTTTTGAATATTTTTAGGTACACGACGAGTGTTTTGGATTCCGCATAAAAAATTTAGGACACCCGGTATCCGTTAGAAGGCGTAGTAGATAGTGCGACGTCCCAAAACACCGATTTGGGTAAGGATCTTTCACATTATTCCCTGTTACGTTAAATAGAGGCTTAACATTGTATAATTTTGTATTTTTATAAAAATTAGGGAATCCTAAAAATAATTAGAGGTCACTAGTAGAATCGGAACTTGTTAGTTCACAATTATCCTGATTTTCTGTTTATGTTATTGTACTGCTCTATTTGCTTGTTATTATATAGTGTATGTTTTAAGTTTATATTTTCTATAGTTTTATCGATTTATCTGTTTTATTTAGTTATGTACTATTAGTAATAACATAGTTTAATAGATCTGTAAATGAAATATGAGATAATTGTTTGTGTGGTTAATTGTTTTGTTGATGAGAATCTTTATGTGAAAGACTTATTAGGTACCTAGAAAAATGGCGGACGGAGCCGGTACATAGGGAACCCTACCATTAAAGTTACCTTAATCGAACGGGACTAATAAATCCCTTACCGAAAAGATTTGGGATACATAATTTACCCTCATATCGGACGGGGTATTGAAGCGATAGAATGTTTGGCGCCTATTTTCGAACGGAGTATGGGGACGGTCGGTTAATTGTTTAAATTGGATATTTGGTTCACGAGTAGATGGACATCCCTATAGACTCCTAGGGGTATCAGTAAGCAGATAAAAATGGAAGGTTATCGTCTCTTGTTATCATATACCTGAAAAAATAATATGGGTATCCGTAGGTTATTTTTGGAAAAACTCGTTAGGTAAGTACGGAATAAATAATTATCTTTTAAATTAAATGAATTTACATCAAATTAAAAGCTCTATTAGTTGTTTTTATGATTTTTACCAATATTTAGTTTTTCGTATATGTGAGTATTGTGATATTCTTACTTAACTAGTGTAACTCAAAATTTTATTAACCATTTTAGATAAAAAAGACCAATATCTATATCCCGATCAACAAAAATATTGTGAGTAGTTCACCACGCGAACTCCTTTCGAGTACTACTGAATGTTATCGTAGAATATTTATTTATTTATTTTTTAATTACCGTTTATATTTTCGAATAAAAATTCTCATAGTCCTGTTGGGTGTTCTAAACTATTGTGTAATTAATGTAAATCTTAACTCTATTATTCGCTTCTGCATTTAAATTATAAATTCATATTCATTTAAAGTTTCGACCACTTACAATATATATTTATAATATAAAAGAATTAAATAACATACATAGAACATGCCTAACGTAAAAAAAGATATTATAATTTTTCACGAATAAGCATTAAAGTTTACAATGGCAACTAAGTCTTTCATTTAATTTGTATTGTTTGAAATGTAACTATCAAATAACAAATCATATATAGAAGCAAAAGGAATGACTTAGCCATGAACTATTCATTATATAAAGTTATTTCATTATATATATATATATATAAACTTATACTAAATTGTAAGTCTATATATTAACATTATAAGGTATATGTTTAATTACAACCCATAAATTAAGTTATAAAATTTGTCAAAATAAAAACTATAACTCATAAAAAATATATTTTTATTTGTTATCTTTCAGATATATATGTATTATCTGTTTTCTTATACGTGTGTATATATATATATATATATATATATACATATATATATACACACATAACACACAGACACACATATATATATATGTGTGTGTGTATTCTTTGTGGGCCTTCAAATGGTACCAAACGAGCCCAATCTTGATTACGGGCTGGGCCTGTTAACTCAATGCATGCCCAAAAACTGCTTATTACTAACTAGTTAGAAGTGTGTGTATATGTGTATTATATATATATGAATTTTAAAATAAAGTTAAAATAGTTTTTTATACGTATATATATACATATATGTGAATTTATATATTTATAGGTTATTGGTAGAGTTTAAGTTTTAAAATGAATTAATTACATTTGTTATATATATATTTTAAAGCATTTAATAATTATTAATCACAGACGTTATAATTCTCTTTTTAAAAATTAAGTAAATTAGTAATAAAATTTTACACTCGGTTATAAATTATTTTTAATATTTTTATTTATTTAAAAGTGCAGTTTTTTAATAAAAAAATTAAATTTGAATACTTTAAAAAAATTAATGAGAATAAATTATTCGAATAATATATGATTAAAATTTATTAATTTATTAAAATAAATATAACGCTTGATTTAAACCAAAAAAAAAAAAACTCGAGAAAAATATATTAAAATAAATACTTATTTAAGGTGAAAATAAAAATTTAACAATTAAGGTGGCGTCAGTGACGGGAGGGAATTACGCATCGCTGTCACCCTAATATCTCTCCTTATCCTCCGACAGCCGAATGGTCTGGACCTAAAGCTTGCCTCGATAGCTGTGATGATATTACAAGTAGGCTCAGGTCCCGAACTCGGCTCGCGCGCATCAGCCGTTTTAGCGAGCCGGCTTCTGCCATTTACCTTCTTCCATTAAAATCCTCGCGCTGAAAAAACCCAAACGCCTTTCTTTTGTTCATCAAAGCAGAAACCCCTCTCTTACTTCTCGGCGGAGATCCATGGCGGAACATGCTGGCGAACACGAATCAGCCGCTGAATCGTTGATGGAGAAGATCTCCGAGAAGATCCGTGGACATGATTCGTCTTCATCATCCTCCGATTCTGATGACGACAAGCCATCTCCGATTGAAGCGGTTAAGTCCAAGATCTTTAGGCTCTTCGGTCGAGAAAAGCCCGTCCACAAGGTCATGGGTGGCGGCAAAGGTACAAACCTAGATTCTCTTTCATTTTATATCCGCTCTTCGTCTTAGGGTTTAATTGATCTTCTGCGTATTGTTTCTTTTCTTCATACAGTATCGTTTAGGATCTAACGATCCGATGGATTTTAATTTCCGCCCTCTGGTTGATGGAAAATGCGGTTTAGGAGGTAGAATATTTAGGTTTTAGACGTTTTATTATTCATTTGTGCACGATATATGTCAAATTTATAGTTGAGAACACAATAAACTTATGCTTCTCTTTTGGAAATGTTGTCATGAATTAGGATTATATAAGCTAAAAGCAGCGCTAATTCGAGATAAACTTGTGTTGCCTGATGTCTTATACTCTTGTGTCTACATGATCAGTTATAGCTACTGTAAATGTTATTGTTTTCAGGAGTAATAGTAATGTCATTGGGTTTCTTCTCATTCCACTTCAACATTGACAATGCGTTAGGTCGACAGAAAACTGGTTGTATAATTCCATCGATTTAGAGTGTTATGTTTGTTTTTATAGTTAATTTAAATATGATGTCACTTTGGCTGATTTAAAATTGCTATGGAAGCAAAAGTCCCAATCTTATTCTATCCTGAAATTTGCAGCGTTTACATTTTGTGAATAATTTCTCCTGGTGCCTGCATAGAAATTATTTTTCTCGGTTGATTATAAGTTTAGTGGTTGTCTCTGAAGAGGATTAATTTTTTTTTTGGTTTAAATTGAATTTTTCACTGGAGTGAGTTTTTTAGAAAGTTGAGTAATTTGTTTGGCACAGTTGCTGATATTATACTATGGAGAAACAAGAAAATCTCTGCTGGCGTGCTTGGTGGTGCTACCGCATTGTGGGTTCTCTTCGAATTGCTTGAATACCATTTGATTACTCTGGTGTGCCATATTTTGATACTTTCTCTGGCTATGTTCTTCTTGTGGTCCAATGCATCAACTTTCATCAACAAGTAAGAAGTTGGATCTGTTCTCCCTCTTACTCTTTTTCCTATCTATTTATCTATCTTATCCTTTTTCTTTTCCTGGTCCATCTTGTCTTATATAACTCGTATTGGTTGTGCCCTTACCAAGGTCCCGACCCCACATTCCAGATGTTTCAATCCCTGAAGATTATTTTCTTCAAGTTGCTTCTGCGCTAAGAATTGAGATCAACAGGGCCATGACTCTCCTGCATGATATTGCATCTGGGAGAGATTTGAAGAAATTTCTCACTGTAGGTTAATCTTAAACTGTGTTGTTGTTACTGGCACTTTCCATTAGATTAGGAGTTTGAAGTAGTATTAAGATATAAGCATCTCTGGTAAATAATATACGTCCCTTCAATTATATAGTTAGTTCTTGATAGCTTGGTATGAATTACGTTTCTATGAGAGCAGGTAATTGCTGGTCTATGGGTTCTGTCAATTGTCAGCAGCTGGTGTAACTTCCTGACCTTGTTCTACGTAGGTGAGTTTCAAGTACTTTTTCATAGAATCTCTATTTGATATGGGACAACGTTTTTTAATTTTTAATTTTTAAAATTTTATATGTTTATGTAATGTCCTTTATGAAGTGATTAACATACACTTTTATATAAAAACTGTCTGTCTTTATGAAGTGATTGACATTTGTTGATTTGTGAAAACAGTATTCATCTTGCTGCACACAGTGCCAGTGGTTTACGAGAAATACGATGACAAGATCGATTCATTTGCTGAGAAGGCGATGGTTGAGATAAAAAGGCAATATGCAGTTTTTGATGCGAAGGTTTTGAGTAAAATCCCGAGGGGACCATTGAAAGAGAAGAAGAAGGATTAGGCACCATGGATGGTCATATCGAACTTGGTATGACAGAGGGGTTAGCCTTGCTTTATGTGGTGATTGCCAAAAACTTTCTATGCATTAGAAATCCCTGTTTCTATTACTGTGTTGGAGAAAAAATGTTTTTGGGTACAATTAGATGGGTTTCTAAACTTCAGATTTTAACTTTAATATAAATAGATGTGCTCTCCATATGATAAAGCATCACCAATTAAGAAATGAATGATATTATTTAACTATCATTAGTTTCTTCCTGATTGTTTATCGGTATGGAAATGATCGCAATATGAACTTCCATGAATGACCATGTTTTCTTTTTGAATGAATAAGCCTAATCTCCTCCTCCCCTTGTTCTTGAGGCTCATAATTATTCCAAGATATGTGGTCTTTATTTACAGACCTGTAGATTATTAGGGTTTGCCTGTAACATAAGAAATAGCGATTTTCGCAAATTGGCATCTCAAATCCATCTTTGTAAAGTACATGTTTACAAGAACTATCTCTCTTTCAAGAATCTTCACTAGGAAAAGTCTGGAGAACAAAGATATCACAAAAGAATTGTTGAAGAAAAGATCAATTGGAAATTGGCTTCTTGTTAAATCTACTAATTTGTCTTGGGTAGACCCATAATCTTGAAATTGACCCTTCATCTGATTCACTGTCACTATCTGATGAAGAAGACATCTCCGCTGATACAGAATCATCCAATATGTACTTGACTACCTGGTAGAGTTAAAAAAGTGCAGTTCGATAAGCTCCATGCCTCTATTAGGTAAGTCATTCGACATATGCAGTAAGGTAGCACACTAGTTGTTGCATATATATATATATATATATTATTAAAAAATTTGAGTAAATCATATACAGGTGTTTGTAACTAGTACGAGTCATGATAATCACTAAGATACTAAGTGACCTTAAATTTTGATTATCTAGATTAACATACCTCGCAAGGTTCTATAGGCTTCACCCTGCAGTGTCGACTGGGACATTTCAAGCTATTGACCCAAACTACTGCATTGCACTGGCCGCAATAACCCCGTTCGCATCTTAATCTCTTGGAGGAACTTCCTAATATCGGGAGTAAAAATGATTAGTGAGGAGAGATTACTCGAAAAAGTAAAAAGAGAACTCATGAAGGCCATGACTGCTGATTACCTATATATGCTCTTTTAAACTCTTCTCTCCAATCTACACCAGCTCGGGTGATATTTTCTTCCTGTAAAACTGTGTTCTCTTCAGAAAGTCTGCCATCTGGTGAGACCTTAAGCCTTGAACAATTGGGATAACTAGCGAAGAATATATCATACTGCAAGCGCCAGAGATGGTTATCACCGGCTGCTAAATTCCATGACCTGTAGAAAGACAAATAGATGTAAGAAGACAATCTGGTCTCTTCTAGGCGCTACCGGGGAGGAGTGTGGTTTTAGTGGACTCTGAAGTTTGACACCATGTTATCGATTGCTTTATGCAATTTGTCTAGTTAAGCGAGATGGATAAGGGATTGGCGTTTTGTATGGTTGGCCGAGTAATAGGCTCCATAAAGTGCTTACAAATGGGGAAAAAGATTACCAGCAGACAGGTCCGGCAGAGACTAAAGATCGCAAATCAAGAAAACTGAAGATGTGCACAAGAACATCGTGCGGCAGCTGTTTGTTACCTGAGAATATAATAGAAAGTGCTTACAGAATATAATTTTAAATCATGGACTCATAATAATGTCACTTGGGGTTTCCATGGAATAATTGTGTAACAGAAGTACCTATTTCTTCCTGCCTTGATTTACAGCACCTCTTTTGAGCAACTTTAGCATGTTTAAATTCTGTAATGGCTAAATTTCTCTTCTGCTTTGGCAATGCAGTTTCTGCACTTCTAAGGAGAAGATAGGCTGCTGCTTTAGCACTGGATGTCTGCATTCTAGAGTAAGATAAGCTTCAGAAAACCAAAAAAAAAAAAATGAAAATTTCGACGAATGATTTCATTCAATTATTGGAAGAGAAAAACAAGACAGAGAATCTCTTGCCCTATATTTATATATATTTAGAAAGTTAAATAAATTCACCGAGTCCAACATTGGAAGAGAAAATCAAAACAATGGCAGACATAGAGATCGGTACTTGCCGAGAAAAGCAAGCTTCCTGCAAAACACATATTCTTACTACACAGCAAATTACGAGTAACAAAACTGGGTGCATGCAAGATTTTCCCTTTTTGTTTTTTCCTTTTGGGACTTTCTAAGGGATGTCTAAATTAACAAGACAGAGTTCAATATCAACGGCAGTTAATAGCTTTAAAATTGCCAACAAGCTTGAAACCCGAGCACCAGAGAGACCCAGGAGTCAAGATAAGCCACCCAGCTAGAAAAAAACATCAAAATCAGAAACTGGGCATGCATGGTAAGCAAGAAATACCGACAAAAATTAAGAGAACTAGTTTGCATCAACTTGAGAGAAACCAAGGTGATTGATAAAGAATACTTACGCAAGAAAGATATCAAAGGTGGTGAGGATGTCTAGGAAGATGTGGGATTGGAAATTCTTGAGGAATTTGTCATAAGCGCCATTAAAAACGAAGCTCAGCTCAAAAGCTATGTATTGTCTAGTAGATTACCTCAAAGAGACTGCCTAGGAAGATGTGGGATTAGAAATTCTTGAGGAATTTGTCATAAGCGCCATTACAAACGAAGCTTAGCTCAAAAGCTATGTATTGTCTGGTGAGGATGTCTAGGAAGATGTGGGATTGGAAATTCTTGAGGAATTTGTCATAAGCGCCATTAATAACGAAGCTTAGCTCAAAAGAGACTGCAACAATTGGATATAACATTTTCGAGGTTGCAACTTGTTGATTTGGCTCAATTTTAGGAAGATTCTGTGTGTATATTTTGAAGAATAGTCTGGGTATATTATGAAAATATTTTAGAAAAAATCCTAAATCTTTGTGTATATTAGGGTTTACAACCATGTGCAGGCAAGGAAGGAGAATTTGAGAGCGAGAAAAAACTGTGTGGGCTCGGAAAAGAAGAAAAAAAACACGGCTGGTGGTGTATGGTCAACTTTTTTGGGGGCAATTTCCAGCTTCATCTCTCTCCATTAAAGCCTAGGGAGATTAAAATATGTTTAAATCGCTAGAATAAGAGTTAAAGTTTCAAAGCAAATTTAACATTTGTAATTGCCGACAAGCTTCAAACCCTAAACAGAGTTCTCGAATTCAATCAAACTCGAAAAGACCCAAATCCGAAAAATTCCCAGCATCAAACGCCTAATAAACTCAAGAAACTAGAACGTAGCCACGCAAAAAATTCCAGCATGACGAAAATAAGAGAATAAAAGTGCTTCAATTTGAGAGAAGCAGATGCGATCGATGCAAAAATACTTACTCGGAAAAGAGGCGAAAGGCGGCGAGCATGTCCTGGAAGATGAGGGCTTGGAGATTTTTGGGAACTTTTGCATAAGCGCTTCTTAGAATGAAGCTTAGCTCCTCGCATGCAACTGGGTACTTGTAGATTATCGGTAAGGACTCTGCGAATCCTAGCTTACGGTATCTCTCGATCGGAGTTGACATTTTCGGGAATTGCAATTATGAGAGGAAAAAAGGATCGTCCTTTCGAATCATTGAAATTCATTCACCGTTTGCTTCAGAGGGAAAGGGGAAGGAAACGCAGGGTGGAAGAAGATCATGGCGTGGTCTTAGCAGAGAAGGAAAACCTGCGAGGAGTGTTTTGTACGGATCATCGTCCTCTTAATCCGAAGAAGACAATGCGTCGTTATTTCAGTTATTTTAATTTTCCGTCCTGCCACTGATTAATTAAAAATGTAATAAAAAATTTAATTAAAAAAAAAGTATTTTACTTTTAAATTAATTTTATATGTATTTTAAATTAAATATTTTTCATCTTTTTAAATTAAATGTATTAATTAAGTTAATTTTTAAAAAAATAAATATAAATTTAATTTTAAAAAAATTAACTAAAATTAGAGAGAAATCAACAAGTTACTAAAATATAATAATTCAAGAAATTTTTATTTCAAAAAGAAAAGATAATGATTCAAGAAACTAAAAATATGAGAAAAATTAAATTACTTTGACGGAATTACTACAAAGAAAACATAAATTTTGGTTTATATTAAATTCAAATTAACCACATTGTCGAACAATTTAAAATGTTTTTACTTTTTTTTTTCTATGAATTGAATTCTCAAATTATATAATCAAACAACTAATATCTTAATTAAAGAAGCTTTACGCATCAATGATGGATCATAGTTCTCGTAACATTAACTTAATTTTATATTTTTTTTGCTTATATACTGTAATAATTGAGAAATATATATATA